ATATATATATATATATATATATATATATATATATATATATATATATATATATATATATATATATATATATATATATATATATATATATATATATATATACGACAAAGACACGTTCTAATTGGCTGCCAAAAAACCGACGGTTAATGACAGCCAATGAGATTGTGTATACGTCAAATGAAAATGCTTTTTTCAGCGGGTCGCAGGTATCCAGCATAGTGCGATCAAAACATTTAACAAATTGGAGAAAACGTTTCGTATCCTTTCGTTTTACGAATTCATTTGTTTCGCAAAATAGTTGTAAAAATGTGGCAAAACTATCATAGGTTAAAATTTTATTATCTTAGCGTAGTTGTTATGATATTTCGAGTCTGTCTGAAGCGCAGATATTTTCCCGGCAATCTCTCTAATGCTTTTACGTGAAGATCCCTTTTCCGGCAGCCGATCATTGACAGGCGTATAAAAGCTTGTCAAATTCCCGAACCGCCAAAGTCCCCACCTCTTTAATGAAATTCGTGATAAAGTTGGGCGACATTCCGATATTATCGCAATATTTGTACTCATGATTATCGTATGGAAGGTAGCAACATGAGCGAGGAAATACCGTAATTCAATGACTATGGTCAATGACTAGCGTGATATTGTTTCGTATGTGTACATAGCTTTTTTTAAGTTTATATATACCATAAACATGATATGATTTTTAAGTACCGCCTAACTCTACTGTGTGACTTCGTGTTGTGTGTGACTGTTCAGTTCGTGTTAACACGTGGGGGGCATGTAGTAAAACACTGACTACCGGAACACCACCGGAACACCACCATTTTGTTTGAGGTTATGGTTAGGGTTAGGGTTGGGGGTTAGGGTTGGGGTTAGGCGGTGTTCCGGTAGTCAGTGTTTTACTACATGCCCACGTGGGTACGCGCGTTTAAACGCGTGTTTTGCATCACGAGTATCTCATTCACATTCACTTGTATGTCAAAACATTAAAAAGTTGTGACATTGATTGCTATACTGGTGACCCTGGCGGTTTACGAAACGGAAAGTTGCAACAACGCCTGTAGCAAGCCTAGCTATTGGACTGCCTACGACCTTACCTGTACAAATCTGATAGCGTAATTTATCTCTACAGACACCGATTTCCTTTCTCTCTCAATCTTCAACTGTCGATCGTCCTGGCCACGCCAGGCAAATCTGCGATTTTCTACTTTCCTGAAAAAATAGAAGTTGATCGAATATGAATGCATACCTCCGCCAGTGAATTAATTCATGTATAAAGCATAACTTCTGGATTTGAAATAACGGCCGATCAACGGACATGGTGCAGTGAGAAATGATTATTGATCGAACAAATCCTTGGTACCAGTCATGTTGTCTAGTCAGTTCGCGTGCTTTAAAAGGAAATTAAATTTTCCGTAATTTCATATGAAATATAGAATTTATTCAAAATTAAATTTTGTTACAAAAGCTCGTACTGGACATTTATGTTTCCAAGAAAGGAGAGTATGAAATTAGATTCTAGACTATAAGACAGCGAATAGGGAAGCCCTCCAGAAGTAAAAGGAGGCTAAGCCATTCCAAAATCCAATCAGAGCAAGAGAGTAGGCAGATAGGCAGAACATTGGAACTTACAGATAAACATGCTGCCTCCATGCATGGAGAATGAATCTATATCAGCAGTCAGATATAACAAAAATCAGCAGACAACACGGAGGGACACACCATTAAGTCATAAAGAAACCACCCAAGATCGAGATTCTAAGAAAACATGCAAAAACTGTGGGGGCGCATACCCACATAGCGGGTCCTGCCCAGCTCAAGGTAAGACCTGCAATTATTGCAAGAAACTAAATCACTTTAAGAGAGTCTGCATGAAACTTAAGAAAAAAGAACCTATTAACACAGTTTAGGAACGAGCCCCAGCAAATGATTCGAGAGTGTCTGACTCATCTAGCGAAGATGAGTACTGTTATGGCGCGCGCTTTGACGAAGACGTCATAAAATTTGTAAATGAAAAAACGCCTAAAACGTCAGTGAAATTAAACAATGTCAAGTGCCAGATGACAATTGATACAGGGGCTTCAGTCAACATTATAGACGAAACTACTTACAAGTGGTTAAGTCAGCCTACTTTAAAGAAAAAACAATTGACAAAATGTTTATACCCTTATGGTAGTGGTCAACCATTAAGGGTGATAGGACGATGTGACTTACTTGTTGAAACAAGCAAGAAAATCCAAAGTCATGAATTCTATATCGTCCCAGGTGATCATGGATCACTGCTGGGATACCCCACTTCTATTGAACTAGATCTCATTGCGGTCCTTAACAACATTACCGACTCCCACCTTAAGAATGAGAATCTCTTCAAAGGAATAGGGAAACTAAGAGACACTACGGTAAAGCTGCATATTCACGAAACTGTCAAACCGGTGGCGCAAAAACAGCGCAGGACACCGTTTCATCTAAGAGACAAAGTAGCAAACGAAATCGAAAAACTCCTAAAAGAAGACGTCATCGAGAAAGTCGAGGACACCCCTACACCATGGGTATCACCCATTGTTACACCACCAAAAAAAGAACCAGGAGCAATAAGACTGTGCATAGATATGCGCGAGCCCAACAAGGCGATTCAACGCGAGAGACATCAAATGCCAACCATTGATGAACTTATCAATGATCTTAACAGGGCTAAAGTTTTTAGCAAGCTAGACTTGCGCGCGGGTTACCATCAACTCGAATTACATGAGGACTCAAGATATATCACAACTTTTAGTACTCATATCGGCCTCTATCGTTATAAGAGACTTAATTTTGGAATATGTTCGGCTTCAGAAATATTCCAAGAAGCCATACACAACGTTATTCATGATATCCCTGGAGCAAAGAACATTGCAGACGATATCATAATCTTTGGTACTAATCAGAAACAACACGACATCGCACTAGAGGCTACTCTCCAAAGACTCGAGAAAAAAGGCCTAACCCTGAATAGGGAGAAATGTGAGTTCAACAAAGATGAAGTTGAATTCTTCGGCTTGGTCTTTAACGCGAGCGGGGTATCACCAGACCCGAAAAAGGTTGATTCTTTGAAGAAAACACAAGCACCAGTCAATGTATCAGAAGTGAAGAGCTTTCTCGGCATGATGAACTACTCTGCGCGATTTATTCCTAACTATGCCACGCTGAGTGAACCACTTCGACGTCTCACACGGAATGACGCCACATGGACCTGGTCCACTGAACAAGAAAATGCATTTATACAACTTAAGCAATCCTTAACAGCTGATACCATCATTGCATACTTTGATCCCAGCAAAGAGATCGAAATAATCGTCGACGCTAGCCCCGTTGGTTTAGGTGCCATGCTGGAACAAGACGGAAGAATTGTAGCGTTCGCAAGTAGAGCTCTCACTGACACTGAGTCTCGATACAGTCAAACAGAGAGGGAAGCTCTAGCAATTGTCTGGGCGTGCGAACATTTCGATATGTATGTGAGAGGAGCCAAGAGTTTTAAAGTGATTACTGACCACAAGCCGCTTGAACGCATTTGGCAAAAGGCAAAACCGCCACTACGAATCGAAAGATGGGGGTTAAGGTTGCAGCCGTATAAGTTTTCTATCGAGTATCGCCCCGGTGAAAAAAACCCTGCGGACTACATGTCCCGGCATCCGGACGCATCTGAAGCCAAAGCCACGTCGCGCGAGCAGAAGTTTGCAGAACATTATGTCAATTTCATTGCCGAAACATCAACTTTTCCTGCTATGTCACTTGAGGAAGTAAAGAGCGCTACAAGTCAAGATAAGACTCTAATGAAAGCCATCGAGTATGTACGCAACGGACGGTGGTTTGAAATCAAGACTGTTTGTGATTCAGAAGTGGATATCAAAGAATTACAAGAGATAAGCAATGTTCGTGAAGAGCTTAGCTGTCTAGATAACGTGCTTTTACGTGGATACAAGATTGTGTTACCGGCAAAGCTGCGCAACAAAGCAGTATCTATTGCACACGAAGGCCATCAAGGGATGAACAGGACAAAGTCTTTTATCAGATCAAAAGTATGGTTTCCACGGCTGAACGAGAAAGTCGAACACACTGTGCAGAACTGTTTAGCTTGCCAAACTACATATGCGGGACCAGAACGAATGGAACCTTTGAACATGTCTGAAATGCCTGAAAAAGCATGGGAAAATCTCAGCATGGATTTTTGCGGTCCCCTCCCAACGGGAGAGTATCTGCTCGTCATCGTCGATGAGTATTCTAGGTATCCAGTGGTAGAGATAACGAAATCAGTCTCCGCAAATGCTACGGTACCGGTTGTCGATAAAGTGCTATCAATCTTTGGGTGCCCACAGGTTATCAAAACTGACAATGGCAGCCCGTTTAACTCCAATTCATTCGCGCACTTCGCATCCTACAGCGGCTTCACCCACCGACGAATAACTCCACGTTGGCCCAGGGCTAATGCTCAGGCTGAATCTTTTAATAAACCACTGATGAAAGCTGTGAGAGCAGCAACCGTTGAAGGAAAGTGCTGGAAGCAAGAGCTCCACAAATTTTTACGTCAGTATCGTGCAACCCCACATCCATCTACAGGATTTAGCCCATATCATCTTATGTTCGGTCGTGCATCTCAAACAAGATTACCTCAAGTTACACCTCCCACCAAAGAGACCGAAATTGAACACGAGGCAAGACGAAACGACAACCGAGCCAAGACCAACATGAAACGATATGCGGACACGAGAAAACATGCAACACCCTGCGACCTTAAAGTTGGTGACACAGTGTTGGTCAAGAATGAGAAAAGACGGAATAAGTTGGCTCCATTTTACAGCGTCGAGCCACATATCGTCACTTCGAAGAACGGAAGCATGGTTACAGCTAGGGCAAACGACAAGCAAATTACCCGCAACACATCATGTTTCAAAAAGGCTCCCGAGCTTAGCTACCAAAAGGAAGAAAGACCAACAAAATCAGACAAAAAAACTTCGGAAAGTGATAATCATCAACCGAATAACGGCGTGGACAACGGTAACGAACCGTCAGGAAGCAATCGCACATTAACAAGTAACAAATCTGATACAGCCACTCCGACAGCGCCAGAAGGAGGAGAAGTAAGAGTGGGACAGCGCCCTACACGTACTCGGAGAGAACCAGCTCGTTTAAAGGACTTTGTACGATATTGATAGTCAATTCAGTTAACACGAAAACGATTACTTATTAATACTAATACAGTTTAATGACTCTAGATAGCACGGACTGAGTGATTCGAACTGTGCTGTCTCACTGCGTTGAGATTTACAGTGTAATTTATTGTTGACATTGGGGTTGTTCTGTTCAAAGTTATGTTAAATATCCAACTAGTTTTGGGGAGGGATGTAGTGTCCAGTAACACTCGGTGAAGTGAGCCCGCGAGGACGGGGTACGAACGTTCATAGTACGTTTTTAGATCTGGATTGTTGACGTTAAGTTTATCGGGAATTTATGTGAATTTAAAGCAATAAAGTGAGACCTTTACAAGTATTTGATTGGCTTCGCACAAGACACAAGTATTTGATTAGCTTTGCTATTTCCATTTTGCAACAGAGTATAAACATATTTAACTATATAATAATTAATATATATGTGCCTTTATTACAACATATTCATATAAATCATATAATTCGTATTTGCATGTGTATTACATATAAATTAAATTATTTTTAGAACTAATCGAGTTGGTGACTGACACGCACTACAAGTCAGTGCTTCGCAAACGAATCGCCCATTCGCATATTATAATATGGAGAGGTCTTACAAGATACACTTGCAGATTATGATCCTACATCATAGGGTTGGGACGTTACCTCTCTTATAAAAGGTAAAAAATATGAAATATATATAGTGAAATATATATGAAATATAATATATATATACACTCACGACCTTCCATTATATGCATTGGTTGATTAATCATTGTTCTTATTTTCTTAAGTTTCTGATAGTAAAAGAACAACTTACATTGAAAAAGAGGAGAGTGTCGACAAAGGGCATGATACTAAGATACCAGGCTTGGCTGATACAGAAGGTACAGTACATATTAATATATATTAATTATATGTATTGGCTATTTGTCCTGGTTTTATTCAGAGGGGAATTTTTTGGGACACGCTGTACATACAATCAACATGCCTTTCCAATAGCACTTCTATCAATAATATTGTGACATGCACTCATGTACAAACCTCAAATTTACCTTTGTACTAATACCAGCCGAGTTGTGAATGGCTTCATTATCTTTAAGATAATATAATATTTTTAATTTACATGCAGATGGAATTATAGCGTATGGCCACAGGAAATGGTAGGAATAGACGGTGATAAATACCTCGTAATTGCTTGCCTATCTACATAATGTTGTTCATCGTAAACATTACCCAACTTGGATCGTATCAGTGTATTGTGAAAGTTAACGACAAAGAAGATACAAGAGGGTTTACCGTGATGATAATAACTATACTCCTACATATTGCCCCAACATAGAAAAGTATAAAATACGCATATACAGTATATGTGTTGAATTGTCGATAGCTTTTTTAGTGCAGAGGTCATATGACATGTGCCTTTTTGTGAGGATGCAAATTTAATTGAATGAGAGATTAATAAAATTAATAGAGTGTAAACTATCAAGGTGCAGGGGCGGATCTAGGGGTTGTCAAACCAGTCACGCGACTAACGTAAAAATTGCAAACTTAATTAAAGTCTTAAATATTCGACCAATAGTCCAGTTATTTTTTATCATGCAGCGACACCTTATAATAGTCCAGTATCTATTATCATGTAACTGTAGTCCAGTTATCAAATTTCATACAGTGGTTGAGCCGACGAGCTTAGTCAAGTCAATGAGCAGCTGACATACGCAAACTTGGTCAGTCAAAAAGTCAAAATCCAGTGTTTTGATTGGTCTAGACGCTTATTGCCATGGTAACAAGCGATTTTTTGCGATTTTGACTGATCTGTGGGGAGTTCTGACCGATATACAAAAGTCAGGGGCGCTCCATTAGTCGGAATATCATTAATATTTGACGCGTGATAAAGTCTTTCCGAGCGCACGCTCATTCGAAGTGTCATGTTGTAGCTTTGTCGAAAGATTCAATTTAAAGATATCTACGGAAAATTCGGCAATGTCTGCTGCTCCAGATTCCAGTCCTTGTAGTATTCACGAAACGGTTCGATCCACATTTGCAGTGAATGATTTAGCTGTCTTACAAGACTGTTGCGCTGATCTTGGGAGGAAAATCAACGCTAAATATCGGAGAGTTCCATTCAGTGAACAGTTGCTAAGCAGCGTAAGCGCCATGAATAGCACAAACTACAGTTTGACTGTTTGAGTAGAAGTATTGGCGCCGAGATCTTTATTCTGAAGTGCAATAAGGTAAATTTAATGTGATATGTAAATTTTATTTCATTTTTGACAGCATAACAATATTTATAAGCAAACAAGATGCGCGCCATGCATATGTAAAATATGCATGGCGCGCATCTTGATTTAGATTTAGCTGTGAATTTTGATTTACACAACAAATTTGCATATTTGTAATTCTGCGGTTGAAGGTCCGTCAGAACTCAGTGATTTGCTAGTCAAGTGATCAATGACTCAACAAGGCTATTAGGCAACAAAAATGAATGTAGTACTATCATGAGATAGTTAAACATAATACTAGCAATCCGTAATTTGATAAAATGAAACATCTTCCACAATTATCACATTTCTGCAAGTACTTCTCCTTTACTTTTCCCTAAGGAGCAAGTTGTGAGAGTCAGTCAGACTGATAGTTGCTATAATTATCTCCCATTTCATGAAGTTAATTTTTTGTTGAAGCAGCTTTCAGAGTGATGCAAATTGCGTTTCGGAGGTTCAAAAATATAAAAATTCCTGGGGGACAGACCCCCCCTAGGTGCCTTGCGCATTCGCCGCCCGCAAAACTAGATTGTAGTATTGTACATCCGAAAACTTTGACTAACGTACAAAAAATCCTGGATCCGCCCCTGTGGGCATGTAAATGGCAATGTTTAGCTATACTATATTAATTTTGATATTATGTGATATATTATCATGCAATATTAATATAACAGAAAATATAATGCCAAGGAGAACGATTGCATGCATATGTTGTTAACTAACTAAAATTCTAAGTAAGTGATAAGTTATGTTCTAAATAATAAATATATGTAGATTATCTTTAATGCATTATTTTAATGAATGGACAGTTTCAGAAAGCTTGAAATAAGGAACTATAGAGCGTTTGCACATGACACCATAGCCATCATGTTGGTGTTCCAATTACAAAAAAAATAATTAGACTTTTTTGTATGAAGCACTAACATGGTCACCATGGCTGTTGTTAAGTTGGTCTCTGGGGAATGAGTGCAAACAATCTATATGCTCTTTGTACATCCTTGCATGGGATATTTAAGTTATTTCGTTTAATCATTTTCAAGGAAATTACATCATCCCAATCTATTACTTCTAGTAGGTTATTACAAAATTAAAGATAAGCTGTGGCTTATATCTCCATTCATTAACAGTTTAGATTTGGAAAAACTTATTTTTGGTAACCTTCCGCCATTTCAGGTATAATAATTAGTTATAACCCATTTTTAAAAAATGACAGCAAGCAGCATGACCGGTTAAATCAGGATCAGGTGGAGGGGAGGATGAATATGTGTGGCTAGGCAGCTGGTCCACACAGATTGGCACACAGTGGGTCAGTCTGTGTGGGCCTGTGGCTAGACAGGCCCACATAGATTGGCACACAGATTGGCTAGGCAGCATTGCTGTTTCTTCTAGGCGAGGGAATTGATGAGTAGCCTGCCAGAGAGTATGAGTAAAATTGCTGTAAATATGTAGCACTGGATAGTAAATATGCGAAATTAGGCTTTAACTTATTATAGTACTACAGGTGCAAGGCAATAAGATGTATACAGACTACAGTGATGACTATTAATAAATTACTTCTGGAAAAAATTAAATAGATCCCACCTTGATTTGGGATTCCCGCAGGGAAATGGTGTTTTAAAAGCTCTGATCCCAAGAGAGCTTTGTTGTTATTGTGTATGCATTGTAGGAACATATTGTGGAATGCATTCTTTTGTACAATCAGAATTTCCTTGCTATCAAAATGTAAACAAGGCAAGCGGACTATGTGGTGAAATCATATAACAAATACAATAGGGCTTGCCTTATGAGTTATGTTGTTTAGATTCCATGTATTTGATATAAATTTACACTGTGTTCATTGAATTTTGATCTTTTAGCCTACCTTTAGGTTTATGCTTTTATTACTGTACAAAATAATGTGTGGGAAGCCATTTGTTTTACTGTATTTCATTTTTTAAATATTTGAATAACTTAGCTTACATATCAATGAACTGAAATTCAGTCAATCATAATTGTCTGCCGCTGGCTACCAAAAGTGATCAATTTTACCAGGGCTTTTGGGCAGTCCCTTCCTCAATTTTCTCCTCTAGAAGAACTGTTATAGAAGAGTCAGTGAAGCTGGATAATTTGTACCTGGATAAAGAAGATTATTACTATAACCAAAAACAAACGTTTTCTTTACTTGTCCCCATGTAAAGCATTGTTGATCATAACGATAAATGCCGTCATGGAAACGATTGACTCGTACTAATACTGTAATATCATAGCATGCAACTTACAAGCCTGTATTTGCATGCAAAAGCTATAATTCACCAAGACCTAAAGCCAGCTAATATTTTGGTAAGTAATTATGTACCCATGATATGACATTAACGGAAAATATTAATAATTTGCTTGTTATGTTACTCTGAGTGTGTATCCACACCGGGCAGGCTTGAAAAATATGCCTGGCCACGGTGAGTATCGAACCTATGACCTTTGGAATACTAGTCCAATGCTCTGCCAACTGAGCTATGCGGTCAGGTCGGTTCGAGATGCTATATTTTGGAACTGAGTCTAGTTCCTTTAATATCAATGTAATCTAATAATTATGATATATTTGTTGTGTTGGTGTAGTGTACTCAGGTGAATAAGATGCTTGTGATGTTACTCTGAGTGCGTATCCACACCGGGCAGGCTTGAAAAATATGCCTGGCCACGGTGGGAATCGAACCTACGACCTTTGGAATACTAGCCCATAATTATTAGATCACATTGGGTGTGTATGTTACTCTGAGTGTGTATCCGGTGTGGATACACACTCAGAGTAACATCACAAGCATCTTATTCACCTGAGTACACTACACCAACACAACAAATATATCATATTAATAACTTACTGACTGATGAGGGCATGTATGTATTTACAAAATATTTTTTCATTAATTTTATGCTATATGTCTTATGGTAGGTTATTAATTAGAAGGTTCAGATTTCACTACCACTACCAATGCATCTGATAGGTTAATCGGATCTATCAAAAGTGTCTGACTGGTTAATAATCCTCTGTAATGTTTGACATTTACAGGTAGAAAAGAGAACATAGGTTGTATAATAATGCAGTTAGCCTAATTAAGAGAGGATGTCCACAAAAATCAAACATAAGGCGGCCACAACGGAAAAATCGATTTTGCTCAAATTTTCCCAGATATACCTTATTATATCGGAAAATGCACCATATATTTTTTTAGGTCAAATGCTTTTTTAACTTTGAGAAAATGCCGTTTTAACACGACCACCCTAAATCGCCATTTTGTCTGGGAAAATATGCGCTGATTTTACAGATAAATTTCACGACGACAACCGTTTCTAATCGATCTAAAACCCTAAAAATCTTGTTTTCAGTTATTCAAAGGACTGTGTACATGACTTACAGGAAATCTGAGTTACTTTTAGGAATAGAAATAATCGTAGTTTTGGAGCACACTATCTTACCTCATTTACGATACCCTCTTAACAAAACCGATTTTCACCATGGGATAAAGCTCCAAATCGATCATGCTTCTACTAGTTGGCTCTTTAATAAACAGGCTTTCAATTGACGTAAATACTTCTTTGGGCAAATGAATACGCGATAAACGACAGCGCGTTGAAATCGTCCGTTTTTGACGTCTTGCAAGTCAAACGCTGTTAATTTACATACCGTCGAAGTAAACAATTTAATCAAGTATTTTAAGTATTTTACCTTTTGATAAGAAGATATATTCTTGAATGGAGACTTTTTGCCTTGCTAAGTTTAAAATTGATCCAGAAATCCCGATATATTTGTGAAATATCATCATATACAGGTATTTTGAGATATAATATTGTTGTCAGTTGCATGATAACTTCAGATCACTGTTCAATAGTGTCTACTTTTAATAGCGCTAACATACAAATCGATGAGCTGTTTAGGGATTATATTTGTTACTAAATTTATCAAAATAATTAGAACTACAACTGCTGTTTTCAGAAGTTTTGTTCCATTTTGTCCATATTATTAAATTAATGTACCAGTTATGTATCGACTATAATGTTTACGAAGACGTAAGTTAATTATTAAGCAGGTGTTAGCGTGCGTGACATGAAATGAACGTTTATCAATATGTTTATCAATTTTTAGTTTACCAGCCCTTATATTTGAATAGCCGAATTCATACGCGAAACTCGTCTTAGACGGAAACTCGTCTGTCAAAACCCACCTGAATATGAATTTAGGGACGGATAAATTCGAATTTAAGACGAGTTTCCCGTCTAATACGAGTTTCCCGTCTCTAATATGAATTCGGCTAATGTGTGTTAAAACTGCAAGGTCATTAAATCTCATTAAAATCCCACAGACCACAACGATTATACGTATTGATTGTTTTCTTGACGATAGTAGACGCGTACGGATGCATGTCGCATAAGAGGTTATTTCGCTGGCCTCAGAATGACAAAACGTAACAAAGCTTTACACTAACCCTATTCCAAACACCAACTTTATATTAAAAATGCTAGATGCGCGACCAGGATTCATAATAAAGTTTCTGAAACGTTCTCTGATCGTAAATTTTTTATTTGAAACACAAGCTTTCGACTGCCAGTCTGCAGTCTTCGACAGGTAAAGTGATAATAAACTATTCTATACGGATATAGCTACAAGGACAGTGGTTTACAATTACAATTATAATGACATGCAATATAACAATGATTAGTTCCGCCTACGCAAACTCTCAGTGAAACGAGTATACTATAAATATAAAACTATGTCTATGATCTGTTCTTTTTTAATAGAAATCTATATTGTTCTGGTAAATGTTGTGCATTGTTGTCAGAATTGACTGTGGTTGCTATC